ACTTAGCGGAATATTGGACAAGACCCATAAACGATCGCACTTCACTTGCGTCTTTGGGAGATCTAGCATCTCTTATAGCAGCAATCTTCTCTTCGGATGGGTTTATGCCGTCACTAGTGACCAAAGAACACTCACTCGTGACCAAAGAACATAAGCCTTGACAATCTAAACTCGCACTTGTCTCCGTTCACCGTCAACCCCACTTCACTCAGCCTATCTAACACCGCAAAAAGACGCTTGTCATGTTCCTCCACGTCACACCCATGAACAATGAGATCGTTCGCAATGTTCGCAACCCCAGCACAACCCCTTAACACATCTCTAATGATCTGCTGATATTTCTCCGGCGCCGACGTTACGCCAAACATCAACCGCTTGTAACGATAAAGCCCTCGATGCGTGACAAAGGTAGTGATGTGGCGACTTTCCTCACTGAGTAAAATCTGGTGAAAACCCCACTTGAGATCTATCTTGCTGAACACCGTACTGCCATTCAAGTCGTGTAACAGCTCCTCAACGGTTGGAATTGGGTGACGCTCTCGGACGATTGCTTCATTTGCACGACGCATATCAACACAGACTCTTACGTCGCCATCTCTTTTGGGAACCACCACCAACGGCGAAATCCATCCCGACGGCCCCTCCGGCACTTCCTCTATAATGTCAAGCTCCAAAAGTTCATCCAGCTTTGCATCCACTTTCTCGCGTAACCCGAACGGTATCCTGCGTACATGCTGCGCTACAGGCTTCACCGACTCATCAATGTGTAGCTTAAGCTCGTAGCCCTTCAAAAGACCAACACCACTAAACAAGTGCTTGTATTTCTCTCTGACATCCCCGTCCGATCGCCCACCGTCAACACTGTTTGTCTGAAAAGGACCAATACGCAACAGGTTTAGCGCCTCGGCAGTCTCTCGGCCCAACAGCGTGCGACCATCGCCTTCAACCACTACAAAATCAGCATTACTTCCGTTTTCAAACCCAGCCAGCGTGACATCTGCCGTGAACGTTCCTAGGGTCGGTAAAGGTTCTGTACCACCATAAGCAAAAAGTTCCTTTGCAGATTTGCGAGATTCACGGTTAATCCCCTTTTGCTTTAACAACTCCCAGGTCTGCTGGCCCATAACATTACATGAAGCTCCCGAATCAATGAGAACATCGGGTACGTCTACACCACCAATGACCAGCGTTACCAAAGCGCCCCTTTGTTCCTTGCGATCATTCACCTGTTCCACTGAAAAGGCATAATCGGGTCTTTGCGAATGACCTGGTGTAGCGAAATCTCCTTTGTCTTCCTCTCCAGGGCTAGGTCTTCCAGTCACGAGGTTCGTCTCTCGCCCTCCGCGTCCGCGTCCACCTCGACCCAGTCCACCAGCACTCCTGCCTCCTCTGCCGCGTCCGCCTCTACTACTCTCAGGTCCTCTAGATCCCGAATGGGTCCTGCTTAGCTGATGGAGTCGAGGGCATTTAACTTTGAAATGGCCTGTTTCGCCGCACTTCCTGCAAGTTTGACCACGCGCCGGGCACTTTTTGTCTTGACTGAAGTGTCCTTCTTGTCCGCAGCTAAAGCACGTCTTTGCTTTCCTGGGATTTCTGTTTCCATACAGCTTGCCACCCACTGCATTGACCTGGTTATCTGCTTGGTCGGTACTGTATTGCTTCAGTTGTCGATCAACCGCTTCTTGGGATCTTGCAACACGCAACAATTCATCTAGCGTAACAGTTCCTTCCTTTTCCAGAAATTTCCGGCGTAAATGGCTCGAATAACACTTGTCTATGAGCTGATCGCGAATGTAGTCATCCTCGCCGGCGCCAAAATCACAAGTCGCTGCTCGCTGACGCAATCTACAAACGAACTGATCAACTGTCTCTCCGATCCCTTGCGAAATTTGTCGAAACAAATGTCTCTCAAAGGGAATGTTCGCCTTTGACACGAAATGGTCGTCCAACACCTTTAACGTTGCTTCAAAACTTGCATCTCCACCCTCACCAGCTAGTGTGAAATAAATTTCTTGCACATCCATACCAGCGACATGCAACAGCAAAGCACGTTTTTGAGCGTCGTTCGATACACCTTTCCCGGTCACATACAAACTGAACGCTCGCTTCCACTTCTTCCATCGCTGACTTAAATTGTGCGCCTCTCCTTTTGGATTAAATGGTTCCAATCCACTGACATCTAAAGTAACAGAAGTCATCCCAGAACCGCCAACAGCACCGCTCGTAGTACCGCTTGTCGTGTTAGTTTCGCCCGATCCACCGCCTCCCGGCATCGCTGAAATAAATCCTTGACGAAATCCTCGACGAAATCCACAGCGAAATTTTCAACGAAACTCTTGAAACCCTCGGCGAAATCCTCGAAATATCCTCGAAGTATCCTCGTCGCCAATGTAGTACCGCGGTTAGGTTAAAACACACTTTATTCACGACCGTTACACTCCGAACTCAGAACGCTAACCCACTCGAATAAATTACAACACACGCTATCTATAGTACATGCAAATTACGTAATTCCCGTGTGTATTACATCACATTCATTCTCTCGCTTCTACGCGCTTGCATTAGCATCGTATAGAGTGTTTTCACTCACGTGGCCAGCATCTATGCAAATTTATTGAAACAAAAGAAAGCGTTTGCATAAGAAAAGAGTTCAGCTCCCACAGGATTGGTTTGGGACACCAACATGGCCGCTGTTTCATTGTTTTGGGACACCAATATGGCCGCCGTGACGTCATGTGAAAACACTCTATACACTACAATAACGAAGAGACAAAATTCTCTGTTACTCCGAGTTTCGTGCTCACATTAAATACTGTCTGATGAGTGCGTGAGCACGAAACTCGGAGTAACAGAGAATTTTGTCTCTTCGTTATATCTTCTTATATATATATATATACTTGTTCGCGTACCTAACTTCCTAAAGTTTAAAGCCCTGCCCAAACCCAAAAATTATTGAAACAATCGGTTTTGTTTACACTCAACAAAATCGTTTCCATGAGTGTTCCACCCCCACACCTTATCACAAAGTTTACATTTTAGGAAAATCGCATGAAAAGACACTTCCGCGGTCCACGTCACATAGCAGACATACACTTGGCGAAATTTTCGAACAAGAGTCATGCATATAATCGGTAAGATAAATGAGAACATTATTTTATTTGTCTGTTGTGTCAGAGTCTGATCTGGGATCGCTTGGGTCCGACATGGACAGCTTTCAATCGTAACGCAGACCTTTACAGCCGCAAATTAGGCTTAACCAAAGAAGTCATCTGTATTGAAAAAGTGGTTATTTTCTGAAGAAACTGCGGTACAACGTCGGTAGGAGGGTGAAAAGCAATTTTTTTTTCATCTGTCGTAAGGGTAGGTGGTCGATCGCCACGATGATACGGAAAAATAAGGGGATATGAAGAGTGAGTTTATAGAAACATCATCATCGGTCGAAGAGCACTCGACTGTAAGTCGTCTCCAATTGGCTCGGTCTTGGGTAGTGCACACGATGTCAGCCTCTTAGAAAAGCGGGGGTCGGTACATTCCTGTACTTAACTGAAAAAGGACTTCTGAGGTCTCCCTGGGGGTTTTCTACCATGGGAGGGCTCATACAACGTGTAGATTTTGGTGGGTTTTAGCTGAACGTAAAAGAGATTGTACGTTTGATATTTCAAACGCCAGCCCTAATTTGTCAGAGCAAATCGAGGTATTGTTGTCTGGTTTATCGCATATATAGACTGGTGGACTTGGACGCAACCCTAGCCTGTTGGTGGCGGCATGGAAACATAAAATAACAGGAATAAAGAAAGCGCAGGAAAAATATCCACTGAAAAAAGTTGCTGTCAAAAAAGCAAAACCAAACGTCTCACGAAATTATAACCTATCCTACTTTCTGTCCTTGGGTTGTAGAAATCTTTTGTTTCAGTCTTTTCTTGTCTCCGCGGGTTTGTGTACAGTGGAACCCGGTTAATACGGACACCAAGGGGACATGCCATAGTGTCCGTATTATCCGGGTGTCCGTATTAAGCAGGCTCTCAGAGAAAACGTCAGGAACACATGTCTTATTGATGTAAAGACCAAAGCAGACAGTTTTACGAACCAAGGATCGGTAGAAGTATGTGGAAAGGCAGTCAATCGGGGCGGAGGTCTTGGTATGGAAATACCAAACAAACAACTTTATTGACTTTATCTTCGACATGTGTTACATTTTTGATGGTCCTCGGAAACACGTGGATTTACTTAAACAATTACTACACGTTAGCAACAACCCAGCAATACGAGCGGAAGATGATCCTGGTATACCTCGCAGCAAGCAAACAAAGTCAAAGAGGAGGAAGGTTGCGAGCAATGACTGCAACAAAACGGCCAAGGAAGTAAAACGTGACGTAACAGGAGGCAGAAAACTTTATTAAAGGACTATACGTGGTACAAGAGTCAAACACCGGAAGAAAGACAGACTATTCAAAATCAAATATGTCACGCTACTTTGTTACTGTATTTTTTTTAGTACTGTAATAAAATTTTATTCACCGTAAAAATCTGTCATTATTTGAACAGGGTACAATGTCTACAATTATCACATAATTCTGACAATGAAAATAGACAGTGTGCAGATAACCAGTGTCCGTAAAGCGGGGTTGACAATATATGCGAGTTTGGTACTCGAGGCACAGAAAAGTGTCCGTTGTCCGTATTAACCGGTGTCCGTATAAAGCGGGTTAATTTTGGCGAAAATATATGAGCTTTTTGTCGGGACAAACGGAACTGTCCGTATAAAGCGGGTGTCCGTATTAAGCCGGTGTCCGTAGAGCGGGATTCCACTGTACTTCCAGTTTGCAATAAAAGAGAAATTTTCACTCAAATTTAATCGTCAAAAATATTATTAGATTCAAATTAGAAAGTAAAGAATTGCAAGTGAGTATAAGCGCCAGGCAATTGATTTTTTTAGTTTCAGTTATCGATAAGAGGAAATTTACAGAAAGTAATGTATCCTAAATGTGTTCCATATTTCAGGTGTTTTAACAGCTGCATATGATACTCAACTCGAGTGGCTCATTGTTAAAGGGATAGCTGATTTTGCAGATGGAGAACAAGTGAATGCAGAAAGTTGGGAAGCCTGTGCTAGTGCCATGGCAGCATCTCTTGTCTCACACATACTAAGTGATCCTGGTATTTTCCGCTATTGGCCAAATTATTCAGGTATAAATTCTTGTCAGTTAATTAAATGGGTTATGATAAAGCGTGGAGGTTACAGGCAAAATTTGCTGTCGCTGAAAGAAAACATGAATCCTCTGAGAGAGAAAGTGAAGCAGCTCAGATCCTGAGATCAAAAGGCACGTCAATATTTTTCTCCGATATTCCATCTTCATTGCGGCATGAAATTAAGCGTTAGTAAGAAGCACTTGTGAGGGTTGTCGTTGTTTCCTTAACTGTCAGTCACTCAACTTTTACTCTAGCTCTTCAGTTGAGAGTTAAACAAACTTTAAGAAAATGTTGATCGTCGGGGTGCATGTTTCTGGTAAAAACCCGAGATTGTACATTCTTTTCGTAGCGATAAACATTGCGTATTTACTACGAGGTACGGCACAAAACGCTAATGATGTTTTTGCCTGGATCTTTCAGTGAATGATCAGACTCAGCTTGAGAGTGGTAGGAAGCAGAAGCTAGCTGAGCACCACATTGCAGGTAATATATTAACAAAAAAAATTAAAATATTCCTCTTTATAACCCTGACCTACTTTCTCTGTACCGCTCTTTGCTTCACTTTCGTTTTAGAACGCAATGAGTGGAAATGAGCAAAAAAAATTTCACACGAGACGCGTATAGCCCCTCAAATGCACCTTATGCACAGAGCTGGTTTAATTCAGTCCATACTTTTGCCCACAATCACAAAATCAAATGAAGATAATGTGGTAGTACCGAAATTAATCCGCCCAACTCAGCATCAAATTATGTTGTGTCTCCAGCTATTAAAATTAACGTTAAAGTTGGAAAGCCTTTTCGCCTAGACCGTGAATCAATTTTGGTAATTCCATATAAAAATTTACCAAACTCCGCCAAGGAGGTAACCGTTTGTGATGTTTTATACCATTCTATGTTGCTGTAAGCCGCGAAGTTATGACCGAATTGCAAATGATTTACAGCTACCCAAATGACCTTGCGAGGCTTGAGGTCTTGAAATACCGCAACGTTAACTGAAATAGATGTATGTGAAGTGGCCTGAGTCTCAACCAACTGTTTTCTTCACCAGGTGCTTTGTGCGATGACCAGAGCTCAACACAAATCAAAAGGGGAATGTTTACTCCCCACACATCTGAGCAAACTGAATCCACAACCCAGCAGCATCTTGCAGGTATCTCTAACCATGCATTGAATTGTGTCACTTAATAATATATGATCAGCTAATGGTCCGTATTACACTACATCCTAAAAAAGATTGCTTACAATTGTGCCACGGGGTAAAGTTTTTACCTTTAATAAAGCTTATGCAATTTGAGGAGTGGTTAATTTTTATAAAGAAAAAGATACTGTCTTGTCCCTAATTAGTTGTGAAAACTAAATACATTGACACATTAATAAAGCTTTTACTTACCTATTTTTACTTACTTTGGAATTCTAAGGTACGGTAAACCTGGCAGCAAAAAAACGCACAACCGTGTTGTTTTCAAAAATTACTGCAAAACGAGTTGAATTCGAGCTCAAACTTGTCTTGCAACAAATCAAGTTGTAGCAGGTTTGCGAAATGTTGAGGCAGAAAATGGACAGTACTTCTACTTTTTGCAGGAAAATCTGTACAAGGTGCCCGTTTTACTGGCCCCTGTTTTCCAAATGTGACGTAACTCTCGTGTATGGCGTGATTTCGCGAAATTTCATCCAATCAGAAGTTACTATTCACGCAACTTACAACAACCAACGCAACCCAAAAGGGGAATGTTTTCTGTCAGTATATCTCAGCTAACTGAATCCAGAAGCCAGCAGCATTTTGTAGGTTTCTCTCTCTAAAGCTCTAAAAGGTCGCGGAATTTTAAAGACGTTTGGGTGGTGGAGAGAAAATTCTTCGATCCCTCACCATACTAAACTTTTGGAGAGTTTGTGGGTGGGACTACTGGGACTATTAACTTCGCTCCGGTTCTGGACGTATCTCCTTTATATCAACCCTCGGATGTACACACAAAGTCATACCCCCATCGTGGAACAAGGGGGTGGGGTGGAACCCCTCCCCGCGGTTTTTGATATGTTGCAGTATTTCGAAACGATTTTACCTTTAGTGGAAAGCCTTTAATCTTCCTAACAACATGAGCTATATTTTATGGGTGGTGGCGCTGCTGGAGGCCTGTGACGTCAACAACAATGGGCGCAATCTTGGCCGCCATCTTGGATTTTGCGAAGAATTACGAATCAGGTTAAAACCGCAAGAAATAGTAATTTTTTGTGCTTTACATGAAAAATAACACATTAATAAACACTTTGCATGATTTTAGCCACAAGATTCACTTTTATTGTTGAAAAAAGTTAAAAAACATGTACTTTCACTAAAAAATGGCTTAACCACCTGCCACTTTTGACGTCATATCTCGTAACCATAGCAACTGACCATCACTGAACGTGCGCGAGGAATGAACGAACAGCTACTGAAAACATCAGGTGCTGCTGTTTTATCCTCTAGGAAAAAACTCAGAAAAACCTTATTGGGGAAGGGGGTGGCATCCACCTCCCCCCCTTGTACGTCCGAGGATTAAAAACCTAATGGGAGTTGGCATCCAGCCCCCCCTTGTACGTCCGAGAGTTAAGCTTGAAAAGTCTACCAATTTTAAGGCGCTATTTCCAGCAGTACCGATGGATCTTTTCAGTACTGGTCTTAAAACAAAACTCACTAAAAAAAACTTCGAAGGGTCTAATTTTAAGTCTATACTTTTAAAAGGACTCAAAGGCTTACGTTGGTTTATGTAAGTCTATGTTATCTTTACCAAATTAATGCCCCCTCTAAGACCCGATTCAGACGCTGAACGTTTCATGAGCCGAACCTAATTTGAATTAAGGCCGACCCTTTTAGACCGGCGGTATTGATTCAGACGCCGATCTTAACTCCAGCCGAACTAAATTCAAAAGAAGAAGAATGCTCATTTTGGTCAAACTGCTTGCAAAATACGTTATTATAATTTATGCATTAGGTTCGGTGCATGAAAAGTTCGGCGTCTGAATCAAAGCCGTTCCAAAGTCGTTCCACAGTCGAAATTTCCGGCCGGGCTAGGCGTGAAGAACGGCTGAGCCGTTCCAAATTGAAATCGGGTGTTCCTAATTGATTCAGACGCTGAACTTTTCATGTACTTAATTCAATGTATTAGGTTCGGCCCATGAAAAGATCGGCGTCTGAACCGGGCCTAAGGATTCTTTGGATATCCCGCCCCACCACCACCCCTCCAAGAATAGTATCCTATATCGATCTTTAACTCGAGCTCGTTAGTTTTGAAAAAACAAAAGCGTATCGATCGTATGCAACGTACAGAGCAAGTGCTTAAATGGGCGGCCTTTATGACAGTGTGATGATACCAAATCGATCTTATTTACAGTATTTTGTCTTTTCCAGGGGTAGGAAGCATCATAGAAAGGATTCGTCAGCTTTACAAACGTCGTGAAGGACGGCTGGTACCATTTCCGTGGTGTGATGACCTTAATTTTAACCTGAATGAAATTTTCACCCGACTGAAGATCGTAAAGAAAGAGAAAACACGAGGAACATTGACCGATGATGAAATCACCAACATGACCGCTATCTTTAGACCCCACCATGATTGCCAGAAACCACGGATTCTTTTGATTGAAGGGGAACCTGGCATGGGAAAAACCACCTACTCACAAAAACTGGCGTATGACTGGGCAAATGAACAAGATGAATGGGACGAGTCTTTTCCATCAATTGAAGTGCTGCTCTTGCTTCGATGCAATGATATCAAATCTGGCATCTGGGAAGCGATTGACGATCAACTTCTTCCTGATGATATTGACAAAGAGGCTAAAGAGAATTTTTTCAAATACATCCGGGAAAATCAGGCAAAAGTTCTGCTACTTCTTGATGGTTTGGATGAAGCAGATTCCCGTAAACTAGACATGTACTACTCGCTCGTTCAGAGTAAACTCCTCGCCTCTTGTCACATTGTCATTACTTCTCGTCATGAGGTTGGAAAGAAAGTAAGGCCATACTGTGACACCCTGTGGGAGATTGTAGGATTTACTAAAGAGGATGCGGAAAGTTTCATCACAAAGTATTTTAAAGACAAAGGACATTTGGCTGAGAAGCTGAGAAAACGATTGACGCTTCCATGGTATCTGCATGATGATCAACTTGGAAACTTAGACGAGTTAACGAAAAATCCACTTAATACAGCTTTACTCTGTTGTCTTTTCGAGGATTTTGAAGGCGTTCTTCCAGCGAGCAGAACTCAATTGTACGTTGAAATTGTTCTTTTTGTTTTGAGAAGATATGAAGAAAAAAACGGACTTGAAAGCAGCAGGGAAGACTTGATTTCAGTTTATAGGAAAGAACTTTTGCTTCTGGGAACCTTCGCGTTCGAATCCCTCCGTAAAGGGGAGTTACACTTTGAAAAAAGGGAAGAAATCGTCAAGTCCATCAATTTTGGATTCTTTTCGTTTCAGAAAGGTGGAACCAAGCGCAAACCTTGCACTCGTTGTGCTTTTTTACACAAAAGCTTTCAAGAGTTTTTTGCTGGATTTTATCTTGCGTTTCAGATTATCAACAATCAGATTGATTGTGCCTCAGTTATAGCCGATGAGCGATATTTGAATGAACTGAACCATGTGTTTTTGTTCATGGGTGGATTCATAGCTTCACAAAGCCAGGAAACTGCAGTAACTTTGGCTACTAGTTTAACGAAACACATCAATTCCCTTCGGCTCAATTCAGAGGAACGTCGTTATGTCACATATTTAACTTGCGAGTGGTTATTGGAGTGCTCAATCCTCGAAGAAACCCTTAAAGCTCTCCTTGTTTGTACTATAGGTAGCCACCTTGACTTATCTTCAATGACTTGCGGGGATTTCTCCGAACATGGAATAAATGATGCTTTTGCTGCAGCGATTTCCCAGGCCCTCACAACCTCCTCCCTGACTGATTTGTTTTTGAGTGGAAACAGTATTGGTGCCTCTGGTGCTATTTGTCTTTCTCAGGCCCTCAAATCAAACTCCTCCCTGACTGAATTGGATTTAAGTGGAAACAGTATTGGTGACGCCGGTGCTTCTTCTCTTTTTCAGGCCCTCACAGCAAACTCCTCCCTTACTGAACTGGATTTGAAAGGTAATAGTATCGGTGAAGATGGTGTTTCTTGTCTTTCTCAGACCTTGACAGCATTTTCATCCCTTACTGAAATGGATTTGTCTAAGAACAGTATTGGCGACGCCGGTGCTTCTTATCTTTCCAAGGCCCTAACAGCAAGAAATTCATCCCTTACTTTTCTGGATTTGTCTCGTAACAGTATTGGCGACGCCGGTGCTTCTTATCTTTCCAAGGCCCTAACAGCGAGAAATTCATCCCTCACTATTCTGAATTTGTCTAGGAACAGTATTGGTGACGCCGGTGCTTCTTGTCTTTGCCAGGCCCTGACAGGAAACTCATCCCTTGCTAGACTGGATTTAAATTTTAACAGAATTGGTTACGCCGGTGCTTTTTATCTTTTGCAGGCCCTCACAGCAAACTCCTCCCTCTCCGACTTAAGATTAGAAGGGAACCGTATTAGGGACGCCGGTGCTTTTTCTCCTTCTCAGGTGCTCCCAATAAATTCCTCACTGACTTTGTTGTCATTGAGTCATAACAGTATTGGCGACAATAGTGCCTCCTATCTTTCCCAGGCCTTGACAGCATTTTCATCCCTTAATGAACTGGGTTTGTCTAGTAATAATATTGGCGACGCCGGTGCTTCTTGTCTTTGCCACGCTTTCACAGCAAACTCCTCCCTGACTTGTTTGAGATTGACTGAAAACGATTTTGGCAAGGCATTTGCTTCTTCTCTTTTCCAGGCCCTAACAGCAAACTCCTCCCTGAAATATTTGCATTTGTGCTCTAACAATATTGGCGACGCTGGAGCTTTTTGTCTTGCCAAGGCCCTCACAGCAAACTCCTCCCTGAAATGTTTGCGTTTGAGCTCTAACGGTATTGGCGACGCTGGAGCTTCTTATCTTGCCAAGGCCCTCACAGTAAACTCCTCCCTGACTTGTTTGAATTTGGATAAAAACAGTATTGGCGAGGCAGGTGCTTCTTCTCTTTCCCAGGCCCTCACAGTAAACTCCTCCCTGAAATTTTTGCATTTTTGCTCTAACAGTATTGGCGACGCTGGAGCGTCTTGTCTTGCCAAGGCCCTCAAAGCAAACTCCTCTCTGATAACTTTGTATTTGTCTAAGCACCGTTTCGGTGATGCTGGTGCAGCTTCTTTAAAGGAGGTGCGTAAGATCAATAAAACAGTGCGTGTACTTTATTTATGAAGACCTTTACGGTTACATTGAGCGATTAGTCACAGAATAGAGTTGTAATATTAACAGGCCCTCATGCAACCAGTGTAAAGTATCCGAGGCGGTTGGAATTTTTCTTGTGTGTGCCTTGCTATGCGTTGCATTGGCTAGGTAAAATGTTTTTCTTAGTTTACGGATCTAGCTGTTTTTCTTTCAGGGAAAACAGGGACAGCTTTTGTAATGCTTAAATGAAAAATGTAATGTTTTGTAATGAACATTTTTGATTCGGATTTTTGTGGCTTGTCTTTTGTAGATAATATATAGATTTAGCCAGGGCTAAAAGCGAAGCTCCCGTTAATAAATTCATTATTTAAATCAAACAATATTAAAACTTGTAATCTACAGATCAGGGCACATTCATTTGACTTTTGAGGCAAAGGCTGAGGGATTTTAGAGAAAAATAATTTGACAGTCCAAGAGTGAAACAAATTTTACATCGAGTTATACTACTACATGAGAAATGTCTGCAATTTGATTGGCTTAGAGCAGTGGTATTTCAGCTTAATTTGCAATACCTTACTTGTGAAAATTACAAACCTTTTGCGGGTAGTAGTATAAACAAATAATAGCATGATTTGTATGTGATATTTGGCATAAATACCACTCGTGATATTTCAAAATTGTCTCAAATTTCACTCGCCTATCGGCTCGTGAAATTACGTATAACAATTTTGAAATATCACTTGTGGTATTTATGCCAAATATCACTACAAATCATGCTATTACCTATACTTATAAAATAGTCTTATTTGTACACCCAAAAATAGCAATCATGTTCGATCACAGTAGGTTAGGCCTGGAAAACAAATAGACCTATTCGTGTATTGTATTAGCAATAGCTGTAGCATCATAATGTGGCATTTACCAGTCTCTCCAACATTGCTCCGAGAGAGACTATGGATAATTGGACAACCCCGAAATATAATTTTAAGAAAGACATGCGCCGCGATAGTCCTTGGTGGCAGCCAATTTACACGTTGCATTCCTCTGTCTAAAAGAGAGGCCAAAATAAAAATAAGGCCGGATTTTTTGTGTTCGACAAGTTTAGTTTACTAGTAAATCTTGGCGACGAATCTGGTGGCGTGTAAACCAGCCTTTTAAACATACTTTTTCTCATCACGTCTCAGGTAAACTGTACACAGACCTCGGACAGAATTTGTTCTTTTCTCCCCTATTTAAACCTATAATTCTGCAGTTTTTCACAATTTTGCAAGAGAATTTGCACTCATTCAATATCCACGACGATCAAAGCACGCCCTTCCTTTGCACAAAAAGTTATAGCATTGAATTATAAAACGTTTTCTGTTAGAAAAATCTGGTCTTATGTGATATGCGGGGTAATAATTATGGGTTTTTAATGAAAACGATAAAAAAAATTCCCAAAATCACTTTTCGGCCAGCCGTACGGGTTCTCACTTTTGACAGGCACCAAATTTGCAGTGCGATTAATAGAGTTACCATTTACGCTTCAACATGATAGAGAATTTGTTACGTTTAGGTTTTATTTCCCTTTATTTATAAAACTGTTTATGGTTTTGTTATGTGTAATCTTTAAAAGCGAATGATATTTACGCGCGTCGTTTTGAGTATTCCTACATGCGATGTTTATGTTCGACTGGAAACAACCGGTGCAGCGATGAAAATTGCGAGAGGGACTACCAACAATCAATAAAATAAGTTTAATTCGGTGAAACATATGTACAGAGACAATAATTTTCATTCACGAAGAGAAGTATTGAGAGTAAAGTGTCTCAGAAAATCATGAGTCAGGCAAGCATAAGCTTATTTATGTTTTAAGCCGGCTTCCCGGTGTTCGCTCTCTTTCAAGATGAACTCGAGGCAAGAAAATCGCTGAGAGCTTTCTGTCTACAGCCAAAATCATAACTAAATAATCTTCGGAACCTTTTCTTTGAATTTGGGGGTCAAAAAATGTCTAAAGGCTTTTTAAACCTGATACTATTGTAGGTTAGATCATTGCTCGTGTTTTAACTTAAGCCGCATAAACCATACGCTCGACTTCAGGAAACCGAAAAAAAAAACATAAAAAACAATAATGGCTCACGCTTACCAGTCGAGATGCTACTTTTGAAGGTCATCAAGTGTTCCAGAATCGCTTGAGACTTTTCAACCTTCTTACGCCTCAAGGAAGGGCAAGTGAGTAAGCTCATTTTTGAAAACGATGCCATCCGAAATCGGATTTCCAATGACTTTGACAAGCGGTGCATTTGTCAACAAAAAGCGCAATAAACAAACCAGCCACGAATTACAGAACAATCTTGATAGCAGCTGTATTTCATTTTGTACACCAAGTAGAAAAAGACAGTTTAAAACATCACAAGATGACACAAAACTCTCCCAGCTCCAGCTATCAGTAAGCAAGTTTCCAGACGCTGCAAAAATTTTCGCATTAACTCACCTGTCAGATTTTGACCAATCAGAACAAAAAAAAATTGGACGTAGAGCGTGATCAACGCGTGACAGTGAGAAAAGTCAAAAGCGATTGCCTTCCCTGCATGTAAATGTAAAAGCCGGTTGAATTTTCCTGTCCGAGATCAGTTCGAAATCAACATTTTAAAAGTGCGGCTCATGAAACAAGACTTATTTCATATGCATTTTCAAAAAATTGAACTTGAGCCTGCGATCATTTGAAAAGTAGCAAGTTGTCAGCGAATACCTTCAAAATATTACTCGAACTCAGAGGGTCGATACCTGAGCCCGCGATATGGTCAGACGATACTGGTCAGCAGAAACACTGTTTTGACAGCTGTCAATTAATCAAAACATGGATGTACAATATCAGGTTGCAGGCTCCCAAACTAGCTAGAAAGAGTGAGATTAAACATTGGTATGCCTGTAGTGCGGACGGACGGAAGGTCGGGTGGTCGGTGTACGGTCACGTGATTGCCGAATTTTCTAGGATGGATAGATTTTCTATAAAGCTATGGGGCTTCGAATTGAGCCCGTGATCAAATAAAATATCAGCGCAAAACTTTAAACACTACGTGACCTCAATAGATAGAAAAATGAGCCCGCGATCCACTCAGGTGATGATGGCCAGCGTATACTCTAGTTTGACAGCTGTCAATTAACCTTCACTAGAATGGCGAATATTCGAATTAACAGACTACGAGTGTGAGTAGGACATTTCCGTCCGGCATGTAGTGAAAAATGCCAGATCGTGTACCTGACCGAACCTGAGCCCTCGTTATTAGTTTTCTGATAGCGGTCTGCACATGTCCCATTTTGACAGCTGTCAATTGACCTTAATTTGGCCTGCCAATGTAACTTTAAACGACTGTCAGCCAACTGACAGCCTTGCCCGGCGTAGTTTCGTTTTATGTTGAATTGGTAAGTGTGACATATTATAACAGCTTATATATAGGGGCAAAACGACTGGTCTTTTATCTGAGCCCGCGACACGGTCATGTGATAATTGTCAGCGGATGTCTGATTTTGACAGCTGTCAATCTAATCATCCTCATACGGATGGCTTACATAACTAAGAGGCTAGTCAAGTTGTGCAAGATCTATTGTGACATTTGACATCGGCTTACATGAAGTGTGTGTACGGGTGGGCGGACGTACTCTACGTCATAACCAAATTTTCTGGGAAGGATAGTTTACCAAATTTTCTTACCCATGGTGCTCCGCTGCGCGCGCGCTTCGCGCGCACGGGAGCTCCGCTATTAAATAAGGTTTGATTAAAAAAGAGGCCCTGTCTAATCCTCGGTATCAAATAAAGAACACAAATGTATTAAAACATTCTTGTCATGTATCTTACCTTTGTCAAAAGAGTTTTCATTTAATTTTATTTTTGTAATATTTTGTCACGTGACCGTTTCAGGAACTAAAAAACAATAATGATTGGTTAATGGAGTGCGAGATGCCCTGTTTTACCCTGTAGTACAAATTAAATGAAGTGTTTCTTTTATTGAATAATCGTTTTTGGCAGGAATCTGGTCAGAATGGTTTGATAGCCTGTGCACAGAACCCCCCTTCCCCACTCTCCCCTCAGTAAAAATCGGAGGGGAGGGAAAGGGTGTCTGTACACAGGCTAAATGGTGGACTGCGATTTTAATCTTTTAAATGAATAATTGACCAAACACGTCATTTGAAACTTCTGTTTAATTATTTTGTGGAGCGCCGTGAAATAAAGGTTTCGGATTCGCCAGATTGGCTTCGTGTGCTTTTGGCACACGATTGGGCGTGCAAAGGCTGTTCTGGCCTGCGACCTCAGCGGTATTGGCCGCTATTTTTTTTTCGCCGCCTGAAAATTGAAATACATCTTGGCTCGTAGGTTAGGACAAGGCGCTCTGATCGTGTCTTTGGTCAACGGGTGTCTGTAAAACCAGGAACAGGCTCGGCATACCCCGGAACATCCCCTTAGCTGGCTGGACCTCTGCCGTCGAACTCCTTTATTTGCAAAAAAAATATAAAACCAAAATTCCCTGAAACATCACCAATCCATCAATAACATTTTTTTTATCTGTTATTGGAAAACGGAAAATGGTTCATGTTGACCAATTCACGGTACGTATCGACTTCTGGAGATTTTAAGAAATAGTCCCCTACCTTTATATATATACTTACTAGCCTTTTTGTTCAAAAAAATGTATAGCCGAAAGGGATCGGCCGTTAAGAAAAAGTACACGCGGCTACGTGCAAAAATAAGAAAGGAAACTTTACCATCTTGGGTGCAACTTTTAGTCGCGGGAACGGACCTTGGGCTAATTTTTGATGGCGAGCCTTATGCGAGTCAGCACACTATTCTCTACGGTGGCGGGAAACAGCCAAAATTTGTCGGATGCAAGATCAGAAGCATGCGCAGTCGATTGGTTTTCTTATTATCCGGGGTATTCACTCCTCTGCGTTGATATCACGTAAAACGTACGTGGACGATATCGAGAGATTTGGAGTAAATTTTCAGAGTGCAAACATAT